CCGATAGTGTTAACATGAGTTTTTGTTATTCCAGGAAGACAGAGAGCAAATAATTCCCAATCATTAAGTGGTTCTAGATATTTTGCAAATAAGTGACTGTTTGGTTTATCATCAATCATAGGACCAGGATTAAGTTCAACATCTCCTGATAAGAGGAGGAGGAGAAATAGAACCAAATAGTAGATCAGGTCAAAGCTACGGCTAATAAATGAAACTAATGACTGGAAGTGAACGTCAATCATCTTGTACTATAGTATGGAGGACAATGAGAGAATTAGGTAGCTTAAGGTGTAGCTATTTCAGTGATCACTTACACCACAATAAAGAAAGAAGGACTTTATAAAAGGAAGAAGAAGAAAACCATACAAGTTAGGAGCAAGCAGCAAGTCAGCTAGAGCAAGGCTACAGTGTGTACCAGTGTATAAAGGATGGGTGTATCAGTGTATGTGTGTGGCATATAGGACCTCATGAAAATAGTTACTGGAACACTGAATATCATAAAATCTCCTTAATATTCTTTTTTATCTGTACACAAAATCATGTGACATTGTGTATTTATTTGCTGAATCTCCCAAGGCATGCATTATGTCTCTGGCCATCTCTTGACATATATAGAGCTTGATATATAGAGAGCTATCTATATAGCACAACTGCAGTATTATTCTTTTACTTTTTTTCAACAAAAGGAAACAAAAAAGGAAAAGAAACAAAAAGTAAGGGAGATTACTATTGTCCAGAGGAGAGTGTATTATACCGAGCTTGTGCACATTCAATAGTTTTACAGCGATCATTACTCTTGCTATACAAAAATAAATTCTACAAATATTTATTTTTGATATGATAGAATAAATATACAATTATTGATATGAAATAAAATGAAACAAAGCACACGATGTGAAAATGTAATAATGATGGATACATCCATAATGTTATTTCTGTGGACACCAAACTAGATCTAGGTTTGGTTCTTTTTTCTCTATACTTTTGCAGTGCTTCCATAGCAGTACTGTAAGGTGTACGACTATCTGTTTCGCATACAAAGTTTCTATCAAATTGATGAAGCTGTGCTGCTATATCCAACCGACCAGTTTTACAGAAGCAAGCAAATGTTTCACAATTGTTACCTGTGAGACTATAATTCCCCCACTCTACTGGATGTTTTAAAAAATGCTGAGCCAACTTAACTGTTTCTGAAGGAGGCATTGCCTTCACTTTATGAACAGCATCAACAACAAAAGACAATAATTTTTTTATTCGACTGCTACCATATGACACCAAGCGAACTTTAGAACCATGGAGAAAGTTATCTAGAGTAGTTGATTTTATGCAAACCGGACGATTATGCCCATGTATTTTATCTATTTGTAGCTGGATTTTTGTAGCCTCTGCTGAATCTTCTGGCAATTCATCACGCTTCTTTGCCAACATTGCAACTTTTGTCATTATTTCATTGCTTTGTCGTCCTTTTTTCTTTTGTAATAACCCTTTTTCATCAGCACTAAAATGAATCACTTCACAATCTCTTTCACCAATATAAATGCCGTGATGATTGTAAATACTTAAAAGTCTATTACAAAAAATATGATCACCAGGTTTGAGGTCTTTCTTATCAATTGCATGAGATATGTATCCAATTCTGCTTGCTGAATCATCTGCCTCTGCCATGATATACTATTAGCTGAGAGAAAAGAAGATTCTGAACCAATTTAAGAATTACACAACTTACTCTGTCTGGATTTTAGAAGAACTGATAAGCTGCTGATAGAAGGAGTGGAATGAACCAAATAAAAAAGTGGTTAGGCATGACTGTGCATATCAGTGATCACTTACACCACAATAAAGAAAGAAGGACTTTATAAAAGGAATTGAAAAGAAAAACCATACAAGTTAGGTACAAGCAGCAAGTCAACTAGAGCAAGGAGAATGGGTGTATCAGTGTATAAAGGATGGATGTATCAGTGTATGTGTGTGGTATATAGGACCTCATGAAAATAGTTACTGGAACACACTAATAACAATGAATATCATAAAATCTCCTTAATATTCTATTTAATCTGTACACGTCATGTGAGATTATGTATTCATGCACTGACATATTACTACTATACCACTGTGCTAGCCTGGACTATGACATTAGCCAACCCTCAGTAACATTAATATTACTGCAAGATTTAATCTCAACAATTTGAACTATAAAACTCTTCTACTCCTCTCTCTTCCTATTTTCTTTATCTACAAGAGTACAATTCCCATTTATGATCTTCAGGTTTGAGATCCTGTTCCTCTACTGCCAGAGTGGATAAAGTATGCAACTCTGCTTACTCAATCATCTGCTGTAGTTGCTATTACCAACAAAATTGTTCAAATGGGTGGGTCAAGTAATTGCAAATCACACCATAAAATAGTACTGAAATTGATCATAAACACTAACAATAATTAATATAATAAGATCAAAACATAATCATACAATTGATTAACAATGCAGTCTATTACTCTTACAGCTGGATTTTTATAGCAAGAGATGGTAATATAATGAATGCGGATTATATAAAACTACACTACTAAAATATAATGAAATAGTACAATACTTTATTATTTCTTTTTAAGTTTGTCAAACAACTCTATAAGACAATGCTCCAATGCACCATCACGGGCATTCTTACGAGGACCTTTTATTTTCAATCCAGTACGTGTATCTTCACATGTACACATCCACTTCAATTGAAATCCAGAAAATTTTTTCTCTCTTTTCCATTTAATAGTAGTGCCACCTATTGGTATCTATTCTTATGTTAATTATATTGTTTCATGTATCAAACTCACTTCTCCACTTTGAATTTCATTATCACTAGCATGACGTTTTATCAATTCTATAAAAAATAAGAGTAGTATATAGCTACATAATAATATAGTGTATGTCATTTTTACCTTTTATACCTTCTCTATCAATATTGAATGCATCAACTTTAGCTGATGCATCAACTTCCTCTGATACCGCTGCTGCAGCAGGTGGTAGCTCAGGTGTAGGCTCAGTAGGTATAGGTTGACCTAGTAATGTATTGCAATATAATATTGATCACTGATAATGTACACACACACTCACCTAACTGGTGTAATATAGAGGTAGCAATATCTGTTAGTGCACGATGTTTTTGGTTTATTAATACATGACATGTATCAATAAGATACTGCTCTGGATTAAGAGAACCTTCCAACTGTGTTTGAATGACAATCACAAGTTTACTTGATTTCTCATTATTAGTTACTCCTGATACATGCATAGCTTCTTTAGTTAGTTGTGGTATCAAGTCTTTAGCATACAGTGCATCAGTTACATTACAAATATTTGCACTAGAAGCATGAACTAATTGATATGAATGATTCTGTAGTATATCCTTTGGATTACCTGCAGTAGTGTATCAGTTAATGAGTGTTGTATTAAGTGTATTGTTTACCTTTTACTTTGTCTTCAATAGCTCTAGCTAGCTCATTCTCTTTACATTGTTTCAAAGCATTAATGACATTTCTCCATGATGCTGTAGGATTAGCTTGTAACCATCTCTTATGTAATGCCTCCATCCTGAGGTAAGGGCTTCCTTTCCTTTTAATTACATCAACATCAAGTTGTGTTATTCCACCAGGAAGAGAAAGAGCAAATGGTTCCCAATCAACAAGTGGTTCGAGATATCTTGCAAAATAAGGACAAGCTGGTTGATCATCAATCATAGGACCAGGATTGAGTTCAACATCTCCTGATAAGAGGAGGAGCATACGTGGACAAACATAGCTACTACTAGTAAACAAGACTGGCAACTGGAAGTGGACATCAATCATCTTGTACTATAGTATGGAGGACAATGAGAGAATTAGGTAACTTAAGGTGTAGCTATTTCAGTGATCACTTATCCACAATAAAGAAAGAAGGACTTTATAAAAGGAAGAAGAGAAAACAAACAACAAAGGAGCAAGCAGCAAGTCAGCTAGTCTGGCCCCGCCCCTTCCAGCGAAGGGGCGGGGCCAGACTACAAGTCAGCTAGAGCAAGGCTACATGTCCCAGTGTATAAAGGATGGGTGTATCAGTGTATGTGTGTGGTATATAGGACCTCATGAAAATAGTTACTGGAACACACCAATAACAATGAATATCATGAATTTTCCTTAATATTCTATTTTTTCTGTATGCATAGCATCATGTGAATGATGTGGTGAATATAACATCATTTGTATACACAAATGTTTTCAGATAATAATTTTCAAGTTATCAGCATTTTTAGAGGCCGATTTTTGAAAAAATACCCAAGGCTATACCCCATGCTTTTTTCTAAAAAATGGCTCCGAAATCACCCCAAATTTTTATTACATTTTCTGATACATATTGATGTCCTTATGCTGTGTAAAACATTTAAGCTGATTCAGACTTCAATTTTTTGAGTTACGACCATTTTAAAAATTAGCAAATTTTTGGTATAGTACATGTGTGTACATGTACCAATACCTTATACCCCCACATATCACATGACTGTCACATGATAGGAGGGAGGAGAATATTAACTTTTAATATCTGGTTTATTTTATAATTACTGGTATTATCTTGCATACACAATAGTACAGCAGCATTTTTTGTGGGGCCTTTAAAACTCATGGGGGTTAGAAATTGCAGATTTTCTATTTTATCATTGATAACATACCCTAAAGTATAATGCTAATAACTAAAGTGGTTATTTTTAAAATATTAAAATGTGACAATAAAGCAAATTAATAATAAATCATTTTCATGAAAATTATGACCATGGACATTTTGGAGCTACAATATTATAGTCAGCAAAAACTAAATTTTCTAAAAATCAACTCAAGCATACACTGATAAATTATGTAGCAGCAAAAACACAAAACAATGCTAAAAACTAGATGTTAATCACACAAGCTAAATTATTTAAAATCACTAGTTAAATTAATTCAAACTAATTATTGGTATAATGATTGGCGTTTCATTTTGCGATAATTTTCCAATGCTTCTTTATATGTTTCACATGTTAAATTTTCAAAAATTGGTATCCATCTCAGTGGATGAAGTTGTGCTGCAATATCCATGCGACCTGTTTTACAGAAGCAGGCAAATACTTCACTGTTGTTATTCTTGATATGATATTCACCCCACTCTTTTGGATAATTAAGAAAATGCAGAGCCAACTTAACAGTTTCTGATGGAGGCATTGCCTTCTCTATGTGACAGGAGGTACTCCGAAAAAAGGAAGAGAACTTTGTTGCTTTACTGCAATTGTATGAAACCAAATAGAGTCTTAGTGTTTTTCCTTCACAAAATTCATCTATAGTAGCTTTCCTTATTTCCTTCAATTTACTTTCTCCACTGAAATGAATCATATCACAATTAGGCTCACCAATGTAAATACCATGATGAGTGTAAATTGCTGATGTATATACATGTATATGATCACCAGGCTTGAGATCCTCTCTAGCTATTACACAAGATATATACCCAACTCTGTCATTTGAGTCATCTTTTACTATTATCACAAAAGAAGAAACATTAACAATAAATAAAAGGAACTAACAAGAGATACAAAAACATTGCTGCTTTGCTTTTAGTATACAATATATAATTGCATGCTTTTACAGATTTGCAAAAATTAATTTTTACACAATAAATTTATTATGGTACAAGATGCAAATGGCATAATTTCACAAAAATTAAATTTGCAAAATAGATTTCTAGGCAAATTCACAAAATTTACAGAATTTACAGCCTCACTATGTGGTATAATATAAGACACTCACCTAACTCGCTTATCATAGATTTAGTAATATCTTTTAGTGTAGGTTCCTTTTCTAATTCATGACATACATCGATAAAGTATTGCCCTGGATTGGGAGAGAATTTTAGCTTTTGTTCAATGGCATTTGTAAGGCTGGTAGCTTTAACATCATCTTTAAGCATTTCCTGCTTAGTATCATTTGGTATTAGTCCTTTAGCATACAGTGAACGTGTTATATTTCTAATTCTGTCAATAGAAATACTTTCAACAATTTGACTGGAATGAGTCCTTAATATATCCTTTGGATTACCTGCAGTAGTGTATCAGTTAATGAGTGTTGTATTAAGTGTATGTTTACCTGTTATTATAGGACCAGGATTAGTAATCATATGCACTGCTCTAATAGAATTTGGATCTATTACATATAGTTTAATAGTTTTATATAAGTCCTTTTCACATTCCCTCAAAGCAGTAATGACTTCTCTCCATGATGCATGTGGATAAACTTCTAACCATTTCTCATGTAAAGCCTTCATTCTGAGGTAAGAGCTTCCTTCAGTTTTAATTTCATCTATATCTTGTTGTATTATTCCAGGAAGACAAAAAGCAAATGGCTCCCAATCATCAAGAGGTTCGAGATGTGTTATAAATGAGTCCATATCAGGTCGATCATCAGCATGAAATAATTTAACAGAATGACTCAGTAATGTATCCTTTAAACTGTGTACAATGTCCTCATGCCCTCTTTCACAAGCTAACATTAGTGCTGTCTTGCCTTCTTCATTAGTATGATCAATATTTACAGTTTCTAGTTGAAGAAGAAACTTTACTGCTTCATTATTACCAGCTGTGACTGCCTCAAGGAGAGCTAGTTCAAAGGTGAAGTTCATATTCTGATCTTCTTGAAGGACAGGATGATCATTAATGTATAAACTAAATATACCAATGAGATGCATAAACTGTAACTTTTCTCCAGTATATTCTATTAGACTATCAGCTGTAATGTCAAGAATATGTAACTTGATGACAACAGATCCTTCCTCAATAGTGATGCATTTCATTATTGACTGTCTAAGTCTTTTTGGTAGTAATCTTTCAATGAGAATGTATAACCCGTTAATTTTAACATCATTCCAAGGATTTTGAAGCTCAATACAAATCAATGGCATATCCTCCAAATGTTGTCTATAAGGTCCATACACTTTACGTAGCTTTTGCTTGAGTTCAGTAATTGGCTCTGATGAATGAAATGCATTAGCATTTAATGAATAAGTCTTCAGTTCATCAAGTAGATCTTTTTCATCACTTATAAACTCATTACACATAGCAACTATCAGACTACAGTCAATGAAGTCATAATAATGATAGATCTTCTTAAAAATATCATCTAAATCACTACCTACTGTACCATGGGCCCAGTGAAGCTGATTTTCAACCCAATCAGATATTTTAGTTGACAGTTCGATAGTAGTTACTTTATCATTGTTTGCTACTTTTTTACGAAAAGCTGACTTAATTTCTGTCATGATGTGAGAGAATTTTGCTTGTAATTCATCCAAAGAATCTTGAACTGCTTGATCTTCATTTGGAAAGAGTATAATTTCAACATCACCTAAAAGCAAACAAGATGTATATTATATAATGTACTTATTATTTTACTTAAGTATTACCATCAGAATTTGGTGTTTTTGGTGATATTGTACAAAGAGCATCCCTCTCTATAGCATTTTTAATATCTTGAGCTAGTTTATTCTGACTTCTACTAGTCAGTGCATCAATGACATTTCTCCATGTTGCTTTAGGATTGACTGACAACCATTTTGAGTATAGTGCTAATTTTCTGTCTTCAATTTTTATGTGTTCTTGTTCAATTTTTAAAATTTCATGCTCTTCCATTCCAACTAAATATAACCCAAATAGTTTCCACTCAACAAGTGGTTCAAGCCATTTAATTAATAGTGAAATATCAGGTTGATCATCAATCATAGGACCAGGATTGAGTTCAACATCTCCTGATAAGAGGAGGAGGAGAAGTAAAACCAAATAGTAGATTAGGTCAGAGCTACTGCCAATAGTAGCTATAAACAAGACTAATGACTGGAGGCAGTGGATCATAACAGTAACAGTAATTATACCTATAGTAAATACACTGTAAGATAATATTATATACTGTTAGTTTGTTTACCAGTTGGAGGAATAAAATTGAGCTTCATATATCTCAATAAAGATAAAAGAAGAGAAACAATAAGAGACAGAGCTGCTGGCAGTTTAGATGTCTTCTCTCCTGATGTAGTACTGCCTGACTTGCTGTCTACTGCAGCTTTGAATGAGTAAGAGTGGCGGCCATTAGCTGGTCTACTGGAGGCAGCTTGACAGTAGTTCCACAGTCCAATACTTGCTCTCCATTGAGAGACATCAATCATCTTGTACTATAGTATGGAGGACAATGAGAGAATTAGGTAACTGAAGGAACATTAAGCACAGACTTAGTATTGTAATAAAGTTTGAAAGAAGCAAGTCTTTGCAGCAAACCACAGTAAGTAAAAAAGATAGGTGCACTACCAAAAATGGGTGTATAGTATAAGATGGGTGTACCAGTGTATATAAAGGATGGGTGTATCAGTGTATGTGTGTGGTATATAGGACCTCATGAAAATAGTTACTGGAACACACCAATAACACTGAATATCATAAGTCTTCTTAATATTCTATTTTATCTGTACACAACATCATGTGACATTATGTATTTGCATACTCTCATGAGTTTGTGACGTGTTACAACCTTTTCCTGTTCTTGTTGCCTACTTTTAACACCATCACTGCGGAGTAATAAATGCCAACAATTTGAACTACAGAACTTATTTACTTCTCTCTCTTTCTACTCTATTTATCTACAAGAGTACAATCTCTCTGCCTCGGAGAATACTATGCTCTGAGCTCGCGGGAAAGTTCCCGGCAAGTATGAAAAGGCGTGGTTACTAATTAACTTCGCGGGGTTTCGCGGGAAAATGATTTTAACATGGCGTCCACACGGGTGTAGATTGAGACTTTTGTTTCCATTCATTCGCTTCTCCCAGTCAACCCTCCCTCCTCCTCCCCCTCTCACTGTAGACACAGCTGCATCAAATTATGAAGAAGGAAAAGGCTATGAAGAGAAAGTTGTAAGAAAAAAGAAAATAAAAGAAGAGAGAGTCAGCCTTCCTCCTGTGCCCCTCCCACCTCTCCTTGGGGAAGCACTGAGGACTGTATTATCAAGTAATTGAATACATGATATGATGACTGAATGTTAATGATATGTAATAACGTAATTTTTTAAAGGGAGCTTCTCTAATGATAGTTTACTATCAATTATGATATACTATATGGCTAGAAAATTTCGAGGGCATAAATTTTCGTGTTTTAGTTGAAAAGCTCTTAATTCTTTAATTCCGAGGGAGTTAAATTTCACGTTTTTGCACGTGCACTTTCATTAAGTCATTGATTTTCACATGCTGCGCATGCGCAGTGAGCATTTCCATGGTATTAATTTTCGTGGTTAAGAAGTTACCCACGAAATCCGCGAAATTAAATACCCCATGGAATTTTCTAGCCATACGGTATTACATTAATTGTTATAATTAATGAAAATAATAATCATAATTTAATTTTCTTATAATATATTTTCCGATTATAATTTCAGAGGTAAATATACATGTACTTGAAATATGTACATGTATATATGTACATCACTTTTTAAAATTTATTTATTATTATTATTATTATTATTATTATTATTATTATTATTATTATTATTATTATTATTATTAGATTATCCTCCTAAGTCGTTAATAGCAGCTGGTAACCTAATCTCAGAGTACATCTTCAGAGATACTACTGTGACTCCGCCCATTAAATATGGCCGTCGTATTTCCATTGGTTACGCTGCCAGTAGAACACAACCAGTTTACGGATCAACGTACCGTGTACTTCATGAGGTATCGTCATGTGACTCTCATGTGATCATTAATAACATGTACATGTATATATACGTGTAGTTGTCTAATATTGACAAAGGATTTAAACCAGAGACTATGCTTGATTATGGATCAGGACTAGGAACAGCAGTATGGTAAGAAATAGGGAGGAAGGGAGACAGGGAGGGAGAGAGAGAGAGAGAGAGAGAGGGAGGGAGGAGACAGGGAGGGAGGGAATGTACGTGTTCATGTACTAAAATCTCTCTTAATAACTGGTACTACATGTACATGTACATTTTATGGTTTTCACTCTTAGTAGATATTGCTGGTATTAACAATTGTCACTATAAATAGTAAATTATTATTCTTTACAATTATAAAAATAGTTACATCATTATGTACAGTACATCTATTAGTAATTGAAATTTTATTCCAATAGCACAGTTAGTACCTCTAATGTAGCTTCATCCATTGTATATGTACATGTACATGTATATATACTTTTATTATTTTCATTATCTCATTGTATCTATACAGGGCAGTACACTCAATATGGGGGAAGAGTGTGTATGAGTATCAGACTATTGATACTTCTTCTGATATGGGAGACCTAGCAAGATCATTAAGAAATGGTACTATACACCACCTCTTACATACTGTTACTATAATATATACTGCTATACTATAGTAACATTATACTGTTACCATAGTACACTCATTTATCCTGTTATACTATACAGGGACTTTTGGAACAACTTTAAAAATTCGTAAAAAATCAAATTTTGATTGGAATCAGCTCAAACTTTCTATGTAACATAAGAACATGTATATTTATCAGGAAAAATTATAAAAATTGAGAATTCTAACTTTTTCATTTTTGACAAAATTTGGCCCGTGACCCTGTGCTATAGTACAGGGACTTTGGCCTGATTTTGGAGCAACTTAAAAATTCATAAAAAATCCAATTTTGATTGGAATCAGCTCAAGCTTTTCTACACAACATAAGTACATGTATATGTATCAGAAAATATAATAAAAATGGAGAATTTAATTTTGGCGAATTTTGGCCTTTGACCATGTACTATATAGTACAGGGACTTTGGTCTGATTTTGGAGCAACTTTAAAAATCCAATTTTGGTCAGAATCAGCTCACACTTTCTACACAGCCTAAGTACATGTATATGTACATAAGGAAAAATATAGAAATAGTGAATTCTTCACTAGCCATTTTTGACAAAATACCCTGTAATTTATACCTTGTTAGTTGTTACTATGTACATGTATATACATGTAGTACAGGGTCTTTGATGCAATATGTCAAATTTTGTAGAAAACAATTATTAATAATGTGAACCATACTGAACTGACCAATTAGATTAAAGGAAAAATAACTAATAAATCTAATTTTGAAAAAGGACTTAATAAAAATAGTCTAACAATAATAAAAAATAATATTGAAATAAAGACTACCTACCAAAAACAAAAGGATGACAGCTAATCTGACAATACTAAAGAAAAATGATAAACTCATAACTGCTAATGAGTTAGTTCTCTGGTGGGTTAGGATACCACTTCTTATATGGTCTTTCATTACCAAGAGGACGCAAAATAACATTGATGTCTTTTTTCCAACCAATACGAAATATCACGACCATATTATGTGACTCCGCCAACCCATTATTGTCTCCGTACAATACACTAGTCACATATATTGGCTTTTTAGTAGTGAATTTTGAAGGCAGGTATCGAACAGGACTATTATCAAAATGATTAAAGCAAGTGTAAAGATGTCCGGCTTTAGTATTATCAGGTAGTAATTTAGTATCATAGTATTGAAATATTTCACATCTTGGATGCCCGTACATGTATCCACTGCTTGAGAAGACGTACTTTGCTTGAATAGCATTTAAGAACTGTTTCTGATTAGCTTTAAGAGCACCATGATGACTGAGCTTGTAAATATGAGAACGAAGATCAGATCCTGCATGGTCTAGAAAATTTTCCATATCTTTCTTAGTTAGTAGTTCAAAGTCGCCAGTGATTAGCGTAGAGGTTTGGCCGTGGGTTATCTTAAGAATCAGGGAGTCACCATTATGAGCTTTATGATCAAGACACCATTTATAAGCAGATGCGACAACAGAAAGCTTGACAGCATTAGCAGCATAGATATTAGGCTGATAATTTGGACAGAGGTTGAGGGCTGGATGGTCCAACACATCTGAGCCTATGTGGAATTTGTTCTCTCCATGACAACTTTTAATATTGTGACAGTAAGGTATCCTTTTAGGATTAGCATATTTACTGTGAATGTAACAACCATACTTATTCCAACTGCAAGGATGATATACAGGGAATTGCTTCCACATTACTTTCCCGTAATAGTCCAATATATCATCTATATAGCTCAAGTGGTCAGTATCAGCATGAGTGAGGAATACGTAATTAAGTTTGGTTCCTTTAAGGTATTTCACAATGCCTTGCCCATCAATACCTACATCGCTTGTGCTGGAACCAGCATCAATGATACTGACCACTCCTTTATCAGGATCACCATTACCTTTAGGACACTGTATCACAGTGCAGTCTCCCTGACCAACTGGTAGTGCGTATATATGCAACTTATCATCAGCATTAGGTATAGACACTGCTGCTTTGAGCAACAAGGAAAGAACGATTATAGTATTCATCTTCATATCAGAGAGAGAGGGGATCACTGCAGTAATGACTGGTTGATATCCTTTCCTTTATA